GGTTACACTATGGATAATTAGTCCATTAATTAGAAACTGCATTATACTGTAGTATTATAGTAGGTGTACAACTAATTTTATCAATGTTTGTGATTTAATATGCATGTGCACTAATACGGTAGACTTTCATCTGTTTATCAATATTGTACATTATACTGTCTCTTGACTTATCGAAATTGTATCAAATCTTATATATCCAGTCGATGGTAGAGCATAACAAAAATTAATAGCTTTCCTTTTTTCCCCAAATATTTAAAAACAAAACAAAAACAAAAACGATTGCGGAAGCACAGCTTGTGGAAAGCCGATTTAATTTGAGTTTGAGTTATAATTTACTAATTTGAATGAAATATTTTCCTAACATGGCTTTCTACACCTATACAATAAGGCTATTGTACAACAAATACCGGTATTAAATATTGACTGAAGTCGTTAACGGTATGCTTCTTTTAAACAAGTCCTGTTTTCCATGCGTCATCATGTAGGACTAACCCCTTCTGTATATTTCTTATTATTCTTTTCTCCACGCATGACTACTATTCAATCAGATTTTGTTTGAAAGAAAACCACAGAGGTGTGGGCGATTGAATTCAATTTAAAAAATGTATATTTAATGTGTAGGCCCAAAATAGTGATTGTGTTGTACAGTTATAATGTATTCCTAGAGGTAATAAATGACTGGAGGTAACAAATTCGTTGCATTCTTCGTTCTTTATATGCCTATGTCAATCCATTCACTCATTTCTATATAGGCCTACTAGTTTCAAATATAACTACAAGCAGTCTCTGATTCAGGTATAGTACATGAACTGCAACTGATCACTTAGACCATGAATTAAAAAAAAAATAAATGAAACGAAACGAATGTGTGTGACACAACCTCAATAACGTTAGTGATTTGAAATATATGACTGTATTACTGTTGTATTATGACTAACAGAAATAGTACACCCCTTCCAACACGCCCGTAATTATTATCCTATTTAGTATAATAATAATAATAATAATAATAATAATAATAATAATAATAATTATTATTATTATTATTATTATTATTATTATTATTATTATTATTATTATTATTGTCTATAGTATTGACATATGAATGGTCTATATTTATTTTAGTTTTATTATTATATTATCATCATAATATAATATTAATCATACAAATATTACTAATAATTTACTTTATGTATTTCTTTAATTTCATATTTGTTGCTCGACACTAGTATCAGCACAACAAACGTAAGTAGGCCTATAATTTACTAAATTAATAACGTTTAAAAAAAGGACACGTTGTCAATATAAATTCCTAACAAATCATCATCATTATGATCGGCATCATCATGACCATTGACATCATCGTCTTCTTGATCCTCCTTCTCCTCATCATCATCATTGTCATCATTACTTTCATGATCTTTCTCATGATCATTATAAACAATCATCATTATCATTATCAACATTATCATTGCTTAGGGCATTGAGTTATATTATCGTTTAGTCGTCTTGACTGTAAAAAGTACTCTTTTTACAAAGATGAAGTGATAGGCCTATATTATTTCATTCAACTGATATATATTTAAACAATTTCGATAATACATCAAATAAACTTCTTGTATGACTGTCACTATTGTATTTTTTATGACTGTAGAGCCCTGATGATCAAATAATTTTATCCAGCTTCACGTGTATTATAATTAATATCGAATAACTCTTATTTTCTTGACTTAACATAAATGAAATTCGATATTAGGCCTATATTAGTATTATTATAAGCAATGCTCATAATTATTTCCATTATTATTATTGTTATTACCATTATCATCATTAATATGATTATTATTTTTACAGGTACAAGAAAGTAAAAACATCATTTAGTTTTGTTCTTGTTCAGAGCATCGTCGGCACTGTCAAGGCAGTCGAGGATGCGGCAGATTTTCAATCGTAAGCAGTCAATTCACATTCAGACCATTGTTTAAATAATTTTTTGTGGATTTTATATTTGGGCCTATTGCATGAATGTGCATTTTAATGTCAAATATTATTTAAAAAGTGAGATGTATCCATAGTAACCATGCCTGCTTGCCATGCGTATTTTTGTCTGACTGAAGGCTTCTCTGCTTACATTGAACAATTTAGATGCAGGGCGTACGGTGAAAAATCTTAAGGGGGGAGGGGGGTCGAAACGAAAGCGCAGGGGGAAAGCTGAACTCGGAGCAATTTAGCGAAGCTTTCAGAATTCGCGGGGTGCGTTATTTGTGACTGAAGCGAGCAACTAGGCTGGGGCTAGGGGGACGCAAAAGGGGAAAAATGTACGTTTTTAGTGCATTAAGTTCAATACCAAGTCTGACAAAATAGACTTAATTGTAAACGTAGTTTTTGGGCAACACCAGACTATATTCACTCAATATACCATCAGCCTATGGATTGCGGAACTCCTGAATACGGGCCTGTGAGCATTTCAGATTAAAGAATTAAAACAAAAATGGGGTTTTTTTTTCTTTTTCGTGGGATCGTCCCACTTTTAATTTAAAAAAAAATAAAGTTATAAATGTATATACTGTATTTTGTAGTACCCCCATACCGGTCTATTGCAATAAGCTTTGATTTTTATTTCGTATTAAGAGTGGATACGGTACGCTAACTTCCTGTTTCTAATGATAGGCGTTCATTCTTGTTTATGAAAGAAAATTCCGATATACAAAGCTGTATTTTACAATTATAATGCGTTGCATTTTTTGTCGTCATCATTGAAGAATTAGTTTAAAAAACAACGATATATGGGACAATTTAAGAGTGTGTATGAGATTATTATGAAAGGCTGTCACTAATAACAGGGTGAATCATCACAACGATGAACAGTCATGTGCATTAGATACGAAATATAAAATGTTGGATTAAAAGAAACAATGAAGAGTGTGATCAAATTAAAGGATAAAATTCGGCCTTACAGCTACCGTCATCACGCTGACTATATGTTTTAATATTGGATTGGAACCCTGACCTTACAAGACTCTATGCCTATAAACATAATAAATATAGTGTTCATTATTTTGCTTTTTGTTTTGATAAAAATAATATATCTTTAATTCTTATTGTACTTATAACTTTTTACTGTTGTGTGCTTAAAATATTATCTAATACAAAACTAAAATTGAATGATTATGATGTTTTTAGATCACTTGGTCGGCATATAAAGACGACGTTCAACGCATCTATAGAGGAAATTGAAGTAAGTTCAATGGAAAATAGTGTACCGATTTATTTTCTATACACATGTACTGTTATACACACAGACTTAACGTCACATCTAAAGGATGTGTAATTGACCTTTTCGGAGTGTTCAAACTTAGCAACTAACCAATCAGAACAGGGTTAAGAATACGCGCGTGTCTCAAAAACACACGTGTCAAACAGACGCACGTGTTTACACTGTCGTTTTTTGGGACAGTTGCAATAATTCAATGGGCGAGCTTAGTGGATGGGTCCGTTAGAGACCATCTTTGCCTGCAGTCTCCAACACTCTCTCTTTATCCCAATTCTTTTTCGCTGGGCTAACTCGCCTTCGTGGTGGTTACTATACAAATAATACAAACTAATAATAATTATTATCGGGCAATAAAACGAATAAAATTATGTGTTTTTATTGTTTCAGACTTCACCGAGGTCTACGTGGGAGAACGTGGATGTTTCTTATAAACTTGTTACTGACTTAGATAGCACATATTCTTTAGCTGTCAGAGATACTATGACAAACGTTGTAAGTGAATATTTCGTGTTGATCATTTCAATGTTTTACGTTCAATTTTATAGCTGAGGAGGGGCTGTAGCTTGGTGGTTACGATGCTTGACCTCCACTACAGTCTCAAATGGGCCAGAAATAGCAGAAAATGTTGCATTGATATATTAATTTACTTGCAATGTTTTAACTTTAGTGTATTGCTTGCTATGCTTTGCATTTAATTTGCAAAATAAACGCTGACTAAAGGACAAGTCACTTGCTGTGACTGATTGAAATATAAAGTTAAAGTAGAACTGTATGCACAGCAAATCGTATTCAACTGTGAACTCATCCAATGTAATTGAGTTTACTTCGCGATTCCGTTAACTCCATTTCAATCATCCTCATTAAACATAAACATCCCATGATCTCTCCACCTTGGGTCCTTGTGATTGGCAGTGATGAAGTGCGTAGCTATACGCGCATGACTGTTTAGAGCGCATGTGGTTGACCTTAACCCATGTGATGAGTGTTTTTAACTCAACCAACCTATCAAAATACAAATATCCTTTACAGTATACGGTATCTGACATGAAATCATAGGCCTATTATTCCCCGATGCTGTATAATTTATTAACTGTTCAGTTATTTTTCGAAAAATCAATAGTGTCCCACCACTAACAATCTAAACTCGTAAAACCGTAACGACAATCGATTCATAATTGAAAACACACAATTCAGTAATTGATCTTTCTTTCCTATAGTTCACACTTTGCTATTCAATTTGACGCTACTTTGAAAGATACCGAAATTTCGTCAACAAATGTAAACATGACATATTTTATAGATAAATATGTACCAACTGAACATGCGCGTTGACATTCAATCTGTGACCAGCAATATATTTATTTGTGAGTGAAGCAGCTTTGAGAAACCAACGGGGAAAAAAAAAATATTTAAACAATGTTTTATCTCGACAGTTTTTCCCCATTCAACACATTTTGTAGAAATAACAGCAATAATCAAAAGATATATGATATTTACGTAAACAGTATGCCTATTAATTAAAGTCTTGGTTGATATGAGTCGAGTATGTACGTATTTATTTGTATCTTTATTGGAAGTTATGTTCATGCCATGAAGTTTGTATGTATACATGAAGTGATACAATATCATCATTCCCATATATGAGCAAATCACTGGTAAATTTACATACAACTTGATAGGTGTGAACGGAGCCTTTATTTTAAGCTATATTATTATGTCTACACTTCATTTAAAGTTACTCTAAACCATATAATATCCCACATTTCATTTTCTTTCTCTCTTAGATTCGTATTGGAGAATATGTTTTCTCATATAATAGTATATCTTTCAAAAGTAAAAATGGAAGTCTTATTACAAAAGAATCTTGGAAGGAGACCTGGTATGAAATCGGTCATCAAATTTTATACGCCGCCATTGTGGCAATTGTTAGCATTTCAATATTTGCAGTTGCTGTTCATTTTACAGTAAGTAGGCAGCCTTATGGCTTAAAACATACTTGTTTATTGTAAGAAAGAAAAATGCCTATTGTCTCAGTATATAACATACGCATAGGGCATGTTATATTAGATGTGATAACAGTGGCGTATCTGGGATTCTGGGAGTCTTATGGGGTGGGGATGATGTGGGGGCGCGAAGGTGGAGTTGGGGGCTCAAAGTGAGGGGCACTAGGTCGCGAAATAAGGTGATAGGCCTATATGAGATGATTTTTAACTACTTCAGGGGGATTTTTTGGTTCGGACATTTTTAATGGGAGCGAATAAGGGCACGAGCTTTTTGATTGGAAGGGGCCACGCGCATACCTAGATACGAAATTGTGTGATAATTCTTCTCGTTGTACACCCCTTTATCAAATTTCTTTTGCAGTGTCGGTGGGGCAAGCGGCGTCCTGCTACAGAAGGACGATACATTTTAAATGAAACACCACGTACAAGCAGAGCAATGCCAAATGTTGATAATCCGTACCTGGAAGAAGTAGCGCCAGACGATGGGGGTACCCTCAAAGCAAATGAATCCGATGCTGCCGGAATGAATGGAAAGGTGCATTCAAACGGAGAAATCACATCAAACGATGAAAAAATAGAAATGAAAACATTAAAGGTGAGATGATCTTCATCATTTTAAAATCAAACCGAACTTGACTTCACCTTGAAAAGTTAGCAAATTTGCAGTTGGTATCATCCGTCTCACATTGCGATTTTTAAAACTTCATAATAATTACCGTATGCTATCGGAATGCGAAATAGAATAACAATATGCCTATATTCATTATGTTTTCCGATCAATACGCAACAAAAGACAATTCGAATACAACAACAATCTACATGATACTCAATCATTATCCAAAGTGAAATAGTTTTTGTGACAAATAGGCTTATTCATGTAACGGAACTTACAAAATACCACAATGGCAGCAATGTTTAAATATGAATTGTTTTTTTTGTTTTTGTTTTTTTCTAAATATATACATTTTTGGAGTAGAGCTATGCCAATGAATACCTATTTATCGAATGAATTATTATATTATAATTTTTTTACTTCCAGGAAGAAAATTCTCAAGCTGATGGGAAAAACTCCGGAACAGACAATAAAGGTTTTGAGAATGAAAATTCAGTTTTCGCAAAACTGGTTTACTCAGAGTATTCAGTGCCAGCAAAACATTCACACGAATTTTTATAGTACCTGTACTCAGTTTACGGTGATGCAAAGCGCGCATGTCAATGTTGTGTATGGCGCGCATACACTGTCGTAAACGTTGCGATTTATAGAGGGAAAACCATAAAAACACGGATGGCGTTTATATCTGTAGAAGTATACTGTTGAATTAAACACTGGGTTTTATAAAAAAAAAACAAAAAAAACATATATATATATATATACATGTATATATATATATATATATATATATATATATATATGTACAGCAAAAAAAAATTATGAATTTGATTCATATATTATTAGTTATTATTATTAATATTTTGTTCATCCACACACAGTGCAAGTGTGATGTATCAAAATATTATTGCGATGTCACTGACGAAACCATTCAAAATGAAGCTGTTGTCGATTCCTGATGATGACATAATTAATGTCGAAATATTGAATCTCGACACGATGGCGTGCATTTCGATACTTGGAGTATGTACTATACTGTATTATACTATCGTATCTGAGATTAATCAGTGGACCTTCGGTTTTAAGCTGTTGACAATTCAGTAAACAATATTATTTGGACGTGGTATACGTATTTAAATTTCATGGCAAGAAAAGTCAAACGCAAATCGTTTCCAGTCTCAACAGAATTAACATAGACAAAACACCATAAACTAATGTACATTATTAGGCCCCCGATTAGGCCTTTGTGATACTTTAGTTCAGACACTGTTGCATATTCTAAATTTAAGTTGATAGCAATAAGAAAAAAACTTATTATTCATATACTAAAAGCGTTTGTACTACCTGGTTAATGATAAAATATCTTAGAAAAGAACAAATATTAGGCTTGCATTAAAATGAACCTGCTGCTGCGAAGTGCCTTGAATATAAATATATATAATATTATTCGAATAATTAAGGAAGTATTTTTATCACTATGACAATATAATATGTATATAGGGCCTATAATATACAAAAAACATTATAGGCCGATATGATCAGGTGCTTAATACTGTAATCCAGTAATGGCACTGAGAGGGTCGATGTATCCGATGGGTGCCGATTTCCCAGACGAAAGTGGCGTGGCCGGGGGGTGGGGCAGCCCAGAACCCCTCAGAGGGGGTGGGAAGCCCTCGTAAACTCTGATAATTTAAGATTAAGAGGCTTATTTTAATAAATTTTAGAGTCTTACATTCCGTAACAATTACATAGATTTTCCGCCGGTGTTGTTCTCCCGACGGGAGGGGCGAGGAACACTTGCCTTTCTTCCTTTCTCCCCCGCTGACGCCATCGTTGGACAAAACTATATCAACGGAGCATATAAACTAGAACACTTGTAGGCCCTATTAGAAATCAGGTCGACATGTAGCATTACACAAAAATAGTTTAGAGTTTATCTTTTCATGTATCTTTATTTTAGAGTTTATCTTTTCATGTATCTTTATATACTCTTTGTATAATTAGCGTCCATATTGCGAACTACCAAATAACGTAATTCAAATTATTTATAAGACATTTTTCTAAGCATTGTAATATGTAAAGTTTTATTACAAGTGACAATTTCAGAAATAGTGTTGCCCTTTTATAAGCCCACAACTTTGGGTTTAAATTTAATAATCCAAATCAATCATTCATTTTTAAATACCCTTTCCGATTATATTTTAAAGCAATAAGGTGTCCACCCACAACTAAATTTAGTACGGTACGTTTACTTAGTTCAATGGAGTTGAGAAGGTGGTGGAAGTTGTTCTCGGATGAGTGTTGACTATAATGACTGGAGTTAATTACCAAAAAGCCTATATTAAAGGGACGGGAAACCTGTCACTTAGGCGCTACGTAAATGTCTTAACAGATGAAATAAACGGTAATTTGACAATATTTACTTAACATTTTATACTCTTTCATTGATTGTTATTTAATGTCACAGTAAATAATAATAATTTTGGTGGCCGTCCATGTAAATTTTGAATTAATTCAGAAATTGGAATCAAACTTTAATTAGATTTTTCCAAACCTTCCCAATTGAATGTCATTTAATAATTTAATTAATCACAACAGCCATATTTTCAGCAATGATATATACATGACATCATTTTTAAGATTGGTTCAGTGGCGGCCCACACACAGTGCAAGTGTGATGTATCAAAATATTATTGCGATGTCACTGACGAAACCATTCAAAATGAAGCTGTTGTCGATTCCTAATGATGACATAATTAATGTCGAAATATTGCATCTCGACACGATGGCGTGCATTTCGATACTTGGAGTATGTATTTTACTATCGTATCAGAGATTAATCAGTGGACCTTTCGGTTTTAAGCTGTTGACAATTCAGTAAACAATATTATTATTTTTTATTATATTTTAAAAGCAATAAGGTGTCCACCCACAACTAAATTTAGTACGTTTACTTAGTTCAATGGAGGTGAGAAGGTGGTGGAAGTTGTTCTCTGATGAGTGTTGACTATAATGACTGGAGTTAATTACCAAAAAGCCTATATTAAAGGGACAGGAAACCTGTCACTTAGGCGCTACGTAAATGTCTTAACAGATGAAATAAACGGTAATTTGACAATATTTACTTAACATTTTGTACTCTTTCATTGATTGTTATTTAATGTCACAGTAAATAATAATAATTTTGGTGGCCGTCCATGTAAATTTTGAATTAATTCAGAAATTGGAATCAAACTTTAATTAGATTTTTCCAAAACTTCCCAATTGAATGTCATTTAATAATTTTAATTAATCACAACAGCCACAAGGAGGGACATACGGAGGATCCAAATGACTTCGGTCAACTTAAGTTGTGTGAGACCTTTTACCTTGTTTCGCGAACCTATTTTTTTTAAAAAGCTTTCTTAATTTTAAACAAATAGTTTTTTTTAAATACCCAAACGGAGAAAATAAAAGTAAAATTTTATTGGTGAATGTAAACAGTGTAGTAATGGGTTCATGGTCAAATGTTTAAAATTTTTAATGGTCAATGGTCATGATCATGGTCAAATTTTAAACTAGGAAGAGCTATATGTGACATATCTTATTTTTGGAGATTTCAAGGCAGCGGCAGACGTAATAAAAAATATAGAAAAACTTTTATTTTTTTCTGAAATTTCCATTTTTGTTGTGGTGGCGGGTGCGCTAATTGGCCAAAATAAAATTTTATATTTATACGAAATCATCATTATTGGAGGGTGGCAGGTTCGGTAAACAATGTATAAAAAATGTGTCTCCTCAGGTGATGTATGAAATGGATGTGGCACTATATGGGTGGAAGTGGCACTTCTTTTTCATCATCCTCACCGTCATCAGGAAAATCAACATCATCAACAGAACCACTACCACACCATCCTTTATCATTACCAAAATCATTTTGCCAGTTAACGAAGACATTCGTGATAGTCGCTATTGGCAATCTTTACCCCGTGTGATTAACTACAAAATACTGTACAATTCCAGCCAAGTCACAACATAAACAGAAACAACAAAAAGGAATCCATTGATTTTACATAAGTCTACATAAAAATGACGAAGTGACGTTGCTAAAGAGCACTACCGTATTCATTGAAATCACTCAAACAGGTTAATTCCATTCAAATGCTCCACTGAAGCGCACCTTCTTTGAATCATTGCTACACCTTTTTGATACACATTGTATTTTATCCAAGCCCAATGTAAATGAGATTGCAATAAAGATTACGTATATACAACTTTCGCACTCCTTTCAAGGTAGTTCCCTTCGATCCTTTGGGCTGTTATTAAGCCGTCGTTTCTTATTTTGACACTGTGTATTGATCGAGTAAAACAGTAGGCCCTATAAATAGAGTGGGACTGGCTTTCAACATGGTCTCCACAACAATTAAAGTGTCTTTCGTCGTATATCTTTTCCTCTTTATTACAGGTAAGGAACTTAATGTTATATCATTTTGGTGGGAGTGGCAAGAATGAATCACAAAGTTGAGTTTATTAGAATTCATCGTTTAACAGCAGGCTAAGGGATGAGTAATAAAATTATGATCCGGTTTTAAGTGAGGTTATACAACTGCATGGGTTGTAGTAAATTAATGGTAGGCGTACTTTGTATGTTTAAGCCTGGTCTTATATAAGGGGTATTTTGTCCTTTTCCCTTAGCCTCAGCGGTACTGACCAACAGAAATTCTTCACCCCTCAAACATCTTACAATAGGCTGTGTCATATTGATAGGATGGCCAGGTAGAATAGGTCTTTTTTGTTTTGGATGACTCTCAAGGTAACCCGTGTGTTGACCTTTCGAATATTTCTCACCCCTCCTATCACACACAATATTGTTGTTTAAACCGTGTCCTTCACGGTACATAATGGGCCTATTTTTTGCTTAAACATTCTCCCCCACCTTACATGGCCGGAATTGATATAGGCCTATTTGATATTTCAATTTAAACAAATTTAATAGCGATGTTCTTTTTTTTTGTTTCTTTTCATATTGGTCAAACTCCATAATACCGTCTTCACTGATATTATTGTACAACAGAAATTACGTAAGTATTTTCATTTATTCTTATTACCAGTAGGCGTATGTTGCTATAGCATAATACTTTTAAACAATATTATTAATAATTATATCATAATATTATTATATTAACATAAATAATAATGACGATTACTAGTGTTAGTATAATTATTGTTAATAAATTCAATACCTCATGATTTATATAATTTATTATTAATAATATAAATAATAATGATATTATAATTAATAATATGAATAATAATGATATTATAATTTGCAATTTGTAATTTAGAATATGTCATTTGTAACAGACTCTACTGTTGAGTCGCAAATTTACAAAAAGCGGAAAATAAGTTACACTACATTTTTTGGTTAATTCCAATTAGTAGGCTTATGCAGCCAGTCGTATTTTTATTTTGTTTTCTTTCTTTAAATATGTGCAATGAATATCTGAAATCAAATCGTAAACAATATATTTTACAGGGCGAAAGGCTATGTCAACACCGAAATATCATTTCGGTTAAACACACAGGGTAATGATGTTAGTGGAATTATCATGGAGGACGATTTTAAAATGTAAGTTCTTTTCACAAATAAAGTTCAATAAAGTACTATTTATAAATCAATATCACGAAATTTATTTATAGCATCATTTAATGTATATTACAATTAATATTATGTCTATATAAGTTTAACATTTGAATTTATTTCAGGTCTTTGTCTGACGATCTTAAAATGAAATACGATTTTTCAAGTGAAGCGGATTTTGACAAAATAAAGGTTTGAAATATTAATTCGGGGGTGCGAGTGGACGTCCGCGCCACCAGTCACTGCCCCCACTGAACATTTTAAAACAAAATCATTACACTCAAGTATTAACAATACCTCATATCATCTTATTTTGACAACCCCCATTATTGTTATTAACATTAAATTCATATATACCATGCAACTTTAACAAATGACGCATAATCAGTTACAAATTAATGATTTCTTTATAGGTTGAAATGGAAGGGAGTGATGATCTGATAGTGTCACTTACATTGGTAATTGACTATTTCAACGATGGAGATACCAAAGCAAAAGATAATATGATAGCGAAGGTAAAACTTTTTTGGTTTTTGGGAGTTTTTTTTTTTTATTATTTTTTTTTTGGGAGGTGATCTGCCAATCATGCAAAATGAATATTAAGGAAGTGAGTGGGGGATGAGGAAATAAAAATCTGTCTTTGCCTCAGAAAGATTCACCAAATTTGGTCTATTGCCTGGTGACAAAAAAGCATAGGGAGTTTTGTATAATAAAAAACATGTAATACTTGAAAAGTAAAGTGCACTTCCGGCCCCCTAGAAGCCCCTCCCTGGGGCACCTCTATTTCAAATTCCTGGATCCGACACTAAAAGAGGTACCGTAAGTTAATGGGTGTCATGGAAAGTATTAAGAAAATCGTGCAAACTGCCAAACATGTCATTTTGCCAAAAATGTATATTACCTGTATTTTTTTGGATCGAATAGGTCGATGCTGGACGATATGAGTTTATGTACGGAGATAATACACTGACATCCGTTGCTGGTACTTTGGATTATGAAAAAGACTGGAGGGAGAATTGGTACCACATCGTTCACAATGTCACAATCATGTTGTTTGTGGCACTATTCCTCATCGCACTATTTCTCGTGGGAACATGGTACATGGTGAGTAGGCCTAGCCTATATCAAGCATCAAAATAGAATTATTGCCATGTGTTCCAATAAGTTGAAATGAAAATAAAAACTAGAAAAAGTGCCTTTGTCATTAATTGTCTGCAATATAATGGTTTCTATTTTCTGCAGGTTGTGTGATAATAAACAACATCTAGGCCTATTCGGCTCTGCGTTATTCAAACCTTTATCACTCTAAATTATGGCTATTCACATTAACCTTATGTTTCATAATGATGATTTTTAATCACTGTCCTTTTTTTCTAACAGTGGGTATCAAGAGGCAAAAAGCAGAAGGTTGATCGAACTGTCCATTCATTCACAAATTAAAACACGATGAATGCATCAAAAACAACTGTGCAGAAGGATGATATAACATGTAATAATGAAACGACTTGAAAAATGAATATGATATTTGCTTGCTTTGTATAAAAAATATTTTCCTCATCAACAGATATATAAATAACGTCGGTGTTCCTATTATTTGCAGTCCTTAAGTTGTTTAGTATCAATTTAAGAATTTATAGTTGTAAAAATCTGTAAATTATTAAAAACTAAATAAGACAATTCGTAGTTCTAACTGCGCATGTCCTGCAAGGCGAATCGACATAAACAGACAAACACACAACAGACACAGCATTTTATGTCGATGCGCATGCGCAACAGACACAGCATTTTATGTCGATGCGCATGCGAATTATGAATTGTCTTATTGCTTTATTCTTAGTCCAATTTTGGCTACGCCTACAGTTTTTTCCGAAGTGTCAATCAAACTTAACAACTGGCCAATCAGAACAGTGCCAGGAAGACGCGTGCGTTCAACAAAAACACGTTTGGTCCCACACAAACACAAGTGTTTACATACATTTACGCTATTTGTTTTGTGGGACCTTAGCAAGAATGTCAAAGGGGCGGGGCTTAGCAGAAGTTGAAAGGTCACAGCTAATGATATATTAACTCTTCACTTAATTTTCCAAGAAAACATATAAACGTTTTTATGATACTTGTTTGTCATGGTTTGGCGCTGTTTATCGCTTTGTACATTTTAAATTATTATTATGGACGGTTGATAAGTCTCATTTTATAGATGAATATGTTGTTAACTAAATAATTTAATTTTTAATAAAAAGCTCAACGCCATATCCATATCTGTAATATTTTGTCTATAGTATATGTTAATTATATTAGCTGAAATTTCAATATATATTTCACGTTCCAAACGGTTAACTGACATATAAAGTAAGAAATAAAAATTAGCAAAAACTTCTCCTCTTGCATATTTCATTTTATTTCATCTATTCATCAATTACTGTAATCAACAGTAATTGTGTTTGCTTATTTTAAAATAATAAATCAAAGGATATATAGGTCTATACAAATCAAAGGTATATATAAATATATATATGTATATATATATATATATATATATATATTTAAATGCGGCATGATAGAACAATAAATACTGACACGCTATCATAATAATCAAAGATAACGTCAGTCTGAATGTAACTAGTTCGAAAGAAGCCCACATTATTCAATTAAATTCAAATAAACATTTATTTCCTCAAACCATAAGAACAATATAAACAATTTAAAGGATGAGAATAAAAAATAGTTAAAGGGGGCATAGCCAAAAAAGCAAATGCTTGTGTGAGACAAGCCCGAAAACGAGTAAAAATTCAACAAGTTATAATAATACTAATAATAATTAAGATTAAAACAATAACAGGAACAGAAGACAAACAAAATAAAAAACAAAAAACGGGTTACAAGAAGAAAAGGACAAAAAAGAGACAAAAAACGACAACATTGATCGTCTACAGAGGACGAAGATTTATTCGGGTTTTAATTTTTGTAACTAGAAATTAAGTGATTCTTAAGATTTAAAGAAAAGCTTTCTTCGATTCACTTTTTTATGTGGTCAGTTAGATTGTTCCATAGTTTGGGTCCGCTAAATCTAATAGGCCTATTATGCTGAAAAGAAGTCTTTTTATGCTTGGGAATATGCAATCTGCGTGCAGATCTAGTACGGTAGGAGTGGTAATATGAGTTTGGGTGGAATAAGGGGGGTATAAGGATTTAGTTGAAGAATAAAGAAAATTGCATTGTTGAAGTACATTTATGTCTTTAAGTTTGAGTAAGTTGAGGGACGTAAATAACGGGTCAGTGTGAGCTAGTGGTGAAGCGCCTGCTATTATGCGTACTGTTTTTTTGTTTAATGAAAAGACTGGTAAGGTTTGATTGATAAGTATCGCACCAAACTATATTGCAATAACTCAAGTAGGGAAGGACAATGCTACAGTAGAGAGTGCGGAGGATATTAAGTGGGATATAAGAAGACAGTCTAAAAATGATACCAACTCTTATACACATCTTATATATATATATATATATATATATATATATATATATATATATATCCTTAAAATTGATTCAACAATCTTTATCACCGAATGGAGGCGATTCCCTTTTTCAAACGTAGGCCTAATTGTTATGCATAATCATAAGGAAATGCACCCAAAAACAACTGAAATCAGATAAATTCTTCCAAGCTTATGGAAATGCATTCCTTAATATCACTACGGCATATTTTTATAGCTTTATTTTCACTTTTATCAGTGGGATGTGACGTCATGGATATTATTGACCTCAGTGCATCCGGCTTTCTAAATACCTATTGAACCAACAGTGTATGTCTTGCGTCATAGAATCCAATAGGACTGGTCCTTCTTGGAAACGAACTGTTAGCATGCTTCTTAGGATAAATCTTTTATATAAATAAGTAAAATGCATTTATTTTCGTAGGTATAAATATCGATGCATTGTTGTTGGCAAATGCAATACCACCAGGTAGTACCATAATATGTACTATTAGTTGTAGATAAGAAATGCGTTTGTTATAGATGTGAAAACAGATTACTCTCGGATTACTATTAAACATAGGGATTAAACGGCCACTTAACCGTCGACCTAATTTTCAGAGTCACTTAATAGCCAAATCTGAAGATCATATATCCAAGGCCTTTGAGGAAAAAACTGACTCAATTTTAGCTCAGATCAATTGAATTCCGGAACTTCATAAAGGTAAGACTTAACATTTATAAACAAAAATATGCATGTAAACTTGTTTTCAATAGAGTTGATCGTTATTTTAATCGAATTTAGGATTGTACTTCGATGGGGACAGTTTGTTTTTCCCCTCAAAATTGATAAAACATTGCAACAATCTTTATTACCGAATGAAGGCGATTCCCTTTTCAAACGTAGGTTTAATTGTTATGCACTGTGATGTGTACGATATGGGCATACGCTCATTAATCAAGACCATAAAATTGATATCCTTCTTTACCAACACTGGTCTTATAAATAGGCCTGAAATCAGCTGGAAATACATACTGGCAAGAGAATAGAAAAATGTGTACAATGTACAAATATAACATTGACCAGTTGTGTTTTCTATATAGATAAAAAATGCGTCTACTCAGGTATATTTGTGGCCTGCATGTGATTGGACTGCTCGAATGTAAGTTTGTGCAATTTTGTATTTATCTATATACGCTGTAGCAAAGAAGTTTGCCTTTTAATACCAACAATTTGAGTTTAGTTCTTGCGATAATTCCAGTAACTAAAATTTCACTCTTTGATGGATAACACATACGTTTCAATCATTAACATTGTAAAACTATATAGGCTAACCATACCACCAAATATCCAGGTCGTTGGAGACCCACAAAGGCATGAGGCAATGCCGTAGGCGGCTATTCGCCCTGATATTGTCCCACACCGTTTAATCCTGGCTACGGCATTGGCATGAGGGTCTGTCACAGGTTAGGTTTATCTGAATTAAATAATAAATGATAATTAACTATCATCAACATCATTATAATATATTGCCACGCTCTCATCCTTAACCTTTGTGTTTCAAAATGTTGTGGTTTTTAATTATTTCCTGCTTCTCTCTCATCCTTACGTTTTCGTATCTAGAGCTATACCACTTTGAAAAAAACAAAGAAACAAAAATAGGCCTAACCAAAATACCTGCAGATTGCCTAAATGAATTATACATTTATACGAACAACTACAACAAAATACGGAAACGATTAGCGCAAAAATAATATATCATTGTGGCCATAATTCATTTAATAAATCTTTATGAAATACCATTATGATATATACGCAGGGTCCTTTGGTCAGTCTGTATGTTATGATGGTAGCAGTAATCCGTACACGCAGGGTCAGCAAATTCAGCAAGTCTGCAACACGTGGTAGGTAAAATAAATAATCTATATTTGTATAAATACTGCACTGGGCCTCACATAAGTGTATAGCGTGCAGGCACTGATGTTATTGCACATGAGACAACGCAGAATAATAGTCCATTTGAGTTTTGCGAACATTTTATAAGGTTTTTAGATTTTGTTTTATGGACTATAAAAAATGAAACTATAAACCTAGTTATAATATTTTTAAGTTTTTGCTATTGCTGTTTGTAATTCGTTAAATGGAAGGCTAGTAACAGCAAGGAGCATGTTAAAATCTCTAATTGTTTTAGGAGAGAAAGAGTGTTTGTATAAACCGTGTTTGCTAATGTTTATATGGGCCATAAAAGAATAAAACATGAAACCTAGTTTTTTTATTGCTGTTTTGAATTCGTAACAGCAAGGTCTAGAATGTTCCAATCTCTTGAATTGTTTTAGAAAAGAAGGAGTGTTTTAATGTGTTTGGATGTTAAAGGCCCTGTATGCCAAACGCAAGGCTGTACACCAAAATGTGTAACAGCAACGTGTTCATTGCTGATTTTGTAGAACAGTAACAATCAAGTTTTTTCGGCGTGTTGATAATAATAAACAAATCATTGTAATGTTTTGAGGGCACTATTAATAATTAGTGACCCAAATCAACCATTATTGCACTCACGGCATGAAGGCAATTTCATTAGTGTAATTACCAAATTCCCTAATGTTTCAATCGTCATATTTTTTCCAAGTATTTGCGAAGAGGATGGCTGGAACTGTACACTGAATGCGTGCTCAGGTAAGCATGGACACGAATAATTTCAATTTGTGAGTGATAACTAAGCAATGAGAATAAAATCAGATAATTAAGAAAAGTTCTAAATAGTGATGTTCAATTCTTACCAGATCCTTGCTTTTCGTCACCGTGTGAAAATGGTGGAACGTGTGTACGGAATCAGGACTCGTACAATTGCTTCTGCAAAAGCGGATATTTCGGATCGAACTGCGAAACAGATGGTAAAAGTTAGCCTAACATTTAACTTAAAATTAATTTATTTGACGGTCATCCTTTTTATTGAAGTGTAAACATTCTGAATATGACATCATGATTGGCTGTATGCAACTTCTTTATGTCTAATCAGGACTAAATTCATTGATCATTTATTGATCAGCTAAATTTTTATTCTATCTCATAAAATCATATCTATAAATTAATGATTTTCTAATTTACTCCTGAAATAGAATCCTGTTCAGGCGATGATGATGTGAGCAATGGTTATTGCGATGAGGAATGCTATTGCTTGAATGGAACAGTCACATGTGATCCACCAACGGGATGTCCAGACTTAGAATGCAATAACACAGTTCTGGTTCCCGGGGACTGCTGCCCCATATGCTGTAAGTTCACTGATTATATGTGGCTTATCTTGATTGAAAATAATGTATAAAATGTCTATATCAATCAAACAATTGTTATATATGTATTTATTTTTTTTAGGGCCTGACCCGAAGGCTGGTTTCTGCCCTGAAAGTACTTTCACTTCGATTGGAAGCTGTGAGAATACATGTCAACATGATGTCAACTGCACCGGTGACCAGAAATGCTGCTTCAACGGATGCGGGTTGTCGTGCATCGATCCACATCCAGGTAAGTATTAGCAGACAGCACAGATGCAGGATAGGAAGGGGAAGGTGGTGGGTTATTATAATGATGTTCTTTAACCATTACCATTTCTGCAGTTTACATTGTCTTGTTTTAAGTAGTTCTCATAACTCATACCTCTCCCACACCAGCTAATGCTTTTGTTTATCATCATATTATATATATATATA